TAAAATTCGTAATTGACAAATGGAATTTATAAACATTTTTTTTCTTCATTTTAAAATAATTTTTAATTTAGTTTTTGATCATTTTTATAGTTATATAATTGAATGAAAACGTTAATTTGACAGTGTTTTGTTCATTTCGAAGTTAAAAATAATGTTTTAATTCTGTAAATCATCAAAATCACATCTCCGTGCAATATAATTTTCATTATAACTTTTAAAATAATTATCGCTCCTAAAGTTTCTCAAAGGATTTTGATTTCTTATAGTTTTAATTGGATGTTGATATTTTTAAAAAATTTTTAAAAGGCGCAGAACATGAAAAAAATTAATTGTTTTTAAAAAAATTATTAAATAATTATTAAGAAATAAACTTTAAAAATTTTTTTTAAATTCTAAACGAAACTATATATTTTATTTCCTATATATACCCGCTTGGTTCATTTAAATCGGTTCATTCATTTTAGAAGAAATAAAATTTTGTTTAATTGCAAAAAAATTTATAAAAAAAAAAATTTTTCTGTTCTTTAGTGACAGAATGAATGAATGAATGAATGAATGAATGAATGAATGAAAGACAGAATTTTAAGATTATTATAGTTAATTATACCCTTTAAAGTCAAAATCGCCTTTTTATTTTTGAAAAAGGTTTTTTGTTGTATGTTCCAAATCGGATTTCCCCTTCTGAACTTAATTGCATCACATAAGATACAACATCTTGTGATGCATTAGAACAATGTCAGGTATAAATGTAAAAAAAAAGTCGCAACAACAGTAATTTATAATACAACCGGCACACTCTCGAACTGAAAAAGACCATTGGCATTGGAATATATTCATGCGCGAATGAAAAAAAAAGCAGTTTTATGGAGAATTCATTTTCATTTCCTGATGAGTTTCTTCGATGTATATTGGAAAGACAAGATAAGGTCTCGCGAAACTTTCCATAAACGATATAGACATTACTTATGTCTGTTGTTGTTTGCGGCGCTTATAGTGATTTTCTTGATAAAAGTGTCTCAGCGACATGGAGCGCGCGCGACGGCATATCAAAACCTTGAGGAATGTCGTTCGATTCAGAAAAGGACTCTCTTTGCTGCGCTATACAACGACATGAAGCAAACGTAAAGTTGTCGCGACCAGAGAAAGAGAGAAAAGAATACTGCCATGTGGAATTACAATGGCACTCTGTTGGCAATCTACACCGCTTCGCCTTGTCACTCCTCTCGCCACAACCAGAAAACTGGTCTCTAGGGATTCTTTTTTCTGCCATAGAATTCTCGCGTGCGTACGTCTCATCCAACACACCATGTTACCACTGTTCCATCCTAAGGGCCCAATCACCCGACTTAAACTCAAACCACTAGAAATGTAAAATTGTCTCGAGAAATGTCTGTATTATTCAGCACCACTTTCTTTTTTCTTCTCTTTTATCTTTTATTCACTTGCAACTGCTTGCAACCAAGGTGGATGAACCAATAATCGTTATATTCGAAATCATTATTGCAGTGTCAATCAGACATTAATCATTGTTATTTTATACTATTAAGTAAATTTTAAAGCATGATTCCAGTTACCTTTGGTTTTTGTAGATTCTGAATCGGATTCAGAATTTGAACCCAAATGTTTTTGATGGTTTTGAATCGGATTCAAAATGTCAACCCAAATGTTCCAGATGGTTCTAAATCAGATTCTGAGTCTGATTCAGAATCTACAAAAAAATTTGGATTTACTGGAATTTTGATTATAGTTTAGGCACACCTTGTATTCTGATGGTTTCCTTGTTTTTGAGGGAATCATCTCAGGCTTCGTACTTATCTACTAAAACCTACTATTTACTACTTTTTTTTATAAAAAAAGTAGTAAAGCACATCATATATATGCGATGTGCTTCTATTTGAGTACTTTTTTTTAGATTTCAGCCACAAAAAGCTACTATTTCTTTTGTTTTTTTTATAATTTCCACTACTTTAAATTCGCTAATACCAGAAATAAAAAAACTATTCTCAAAAATTATAATCAAATTCATTAAAACGATCCAGTTATTTTCAAAAAATATACGAAATTCAACTATTTTCAATATCTAGTATTTTCATGAAATTTCGTAAAAGAATCCAATTATTAAAAAAAAAAAAAATTTATAAAATTCAACCAAAATACAATTATTTTCATAAATAATAAAATTTCCACAGGAATTCAATTAATTTAGTACAGCGTTTACAAAAAAATTTCGAAATTTCACATTAATTCAATTACTTTCACTAATAATAACATTTTTCATATAGAAATTTAATTATTTAACAATTTTTTTTTAAATCTTCGTAAGAATTCAAATATTTTTATGAATAATAAAACTCCTCGAAGAATTTCAATTATTTATAATACGATTTTAAATTAATTAATCGAAAAATTCAATTATTTTCGCAAATAAAGTTTTCCACAAGAATTCAATTATTTAAAATAAAATTTTCATAATATTTATTATATTTCAAAAAAAATTAATTATTTAAAACAATAGTCATAAAATTTTTACGAAGAATTCAATTATTTTCAAAAATAACAAAATTTTTTACAGAAATTCAATTTTTTTTTTAAATTTTAATACATTTTTTCACAATAATTCCAATATTTTTATAAATTATAAAATTGTTCCCAGGAATTTAATTATTTTTGAAAATTTTAATAAAATTCTGATCAACTATTGAATTATTTTCATAAATAATAAAATTCATTACAAGATTTCAATTATTTTAAATAAAATTCTTGGCAAAATTTCAATGATTTTCAAAAATTTTCCTCAATTTAATGATTTTTAATATCTACGATTTTAAAAAAATTTTTCAAAAGAATTCAATTATTTAAAAAAAAATTGTTATACAAATTCTACGTTAGCATTTAATTATTTTCAAAAATAATACAAATTTAACAGAAATTCAATTATTTATAAATTTTTTTCAAATTTCTTCGCAATAATTCAATTATTTTTATAAAAATAAATAATATTATAATAATATAATAATATTTTATTTTATAAATAATAAAATTTTTTACAGCGATTCAAGTATTTTCATAAATAATAAAATTTTTTTAGGAATTCAATTATGTTCATAAATAATAAAACTCATCGCAGAATTTCAGTTATTTAATAAATAACAAAATTCTTCATAGAAATTCAATTATTTTCAAGAATTCAAAGAAAATTATTTTTATAAATAATAAACTGCTTTTTAAGAATTCAATTATTTAAAAAAAAAAATTAATGAAATACCACACAGACATTCAATTATTGTCAAAAATTTTAATATTTGTTGAAAATTTGTAAAATTTTCAAAATTTGTAACATTTAATTATTATTATTTTTTAAAAACTTTTCGCAATTCAATGATTTTTAATATCTTAATATTTTTAATACTTTTTCCTATAATTTTCATCAAATTTTTTTTTCTTTAAAAAAATAATTTAATTCTTGCGAAGAATTTTATAAAAAAATTTTAAATAATTGATTCCTTTCGATTAATTTTATGCAAATTCTAATTTAAATAATTAAATATTTGAGAAATTTTTATTATTCATGAAATAATAATTGAATTCTTACGAAGATTTTTACAAACAATTTTTTAAATAATTGAAATCTGTTTAGAAATTTAATTAAAATACTAGGTACTATTTTAATTAAATTTTTAAAGAATAAAATAATAATATAATAAATTTCTCAACAATTTTTTAAATAATTGAAATCTGTTAAGAAGTTTAATTAAAATACTACTATTTTAATTAAATTGCTAAACAGATTTTAATTAATTAAAAAATTGGTTGTAAAAATCTTTGTAAGAATTCAATTAATTTCACGAATAATAAAAATTCCTTAGGAATTTAATTGTTTAAATTAGGGGTCGTCCATATACCACGTGGACACTTTTGGGGGGAGGGGGGGGTTAAAAAAAAGTTTGAAAATGTCCACGATCCCATGTATTTTTGTGTCCACAAGGGGGGAGGGGGGGTCAAAAATCTTTGAAAAACTGTCCACGTGGTATATGGACGACCCCTTAGAATTTTCATAAAATTAGTCGAAAGGAATCAATTATTTAAAATTTTTTATAAAATTATTCTCAAAAATTAAATTATTAAAAAAAAAGTTTTAATGAAAATTAGGAAAAAGTCAGGAAAATAAATTATAGAATGGAATTTTTGTCAGTTTTGTGAAGTGTCTAAAACGAGTTTTTTGGTCGTCAAGTTTAATTTTTCGATAGCTACTTTTTTACTACTGTTTTTTTCAGTTTGAAAGCTACTTTTTTAAAATTAATTATTGAATGCGAAGTCTGTCATCCTCAAAAATATTTTAGGATCTTTTGACTATTTTCGAAAATAAATAACTTAACTAGTTTTTGAAGATTCTGTATCTGATTTTGAATCTTAATCTAAATGTTTTTGATGATTCTGAATCAGATTCTGTTTCTTTACCTAAATGTTTTTGATGGTTCTGAATCTGATTCTTAATCTGATTCAAAATCTACAAAAACATTTGGATTTACTGGAATTTTTATTATAATAGTTTAAGCACACCGTGCGTTCTGACGGTTTTTCCTTTTTTGAGAGAATCATGCTTAAAAAATGTTTGAGGATCTTTTGACTATTTTTGGAAATAAATAACCTAATTAGTTTTCAAAGAATCTGAATCAGATTCAGAATCTTAACTTAAATGTTTTTGAAGATTCTGAATCTTAACCTAAATGTTTTTAAAGATTCTGAATCAGATTATGAATCTTCACCCAAATGTTTTTCATGGTCCTGAATCAGATTCTGATTCAGATTCAGATGCTACGAAAACATTTAGATTTACTGGAATTTTTATTATAGTTTATGCACACCGTGCGTTCTGATGATTTTCTTTTTTTTTTTAGGGAAACCGTCCTAAAAAATGTTTGAGGATCCTTTGACTATTTTTGAAAATAAAAACCTTAATTTTCGAGAGGAAGTAAAGAATCAATTTTCTTTTGTTTCAGGGGGCATTATGCAGACTAAGGAAGTCGCGCCCCGTGCACAATCAACGGGGCTAGAAGGCTCCCTAACGGACACACTGCCTTTTCAACATCCACTGCATCATAAGATTCCTGCTCTTGTACACATGGCCGTAAAACAGGAACCACAAGAGGAGGATGAAAGGGGACGGGAAACTAATATTTTAGGGTGCGTAAAATTCTGTCAAATTATCACTTTTTAGAATTTATTTAAACATATGCGACAAAAACATTAGGTTCAGAAATGTGAGCCTAAGGCTCACTTTTCTGAACCTAATGTTTTTGTCGCGTTAGGTCCCTTTTTCCCGTGAAGGGGGTCACATATATTAAAATTAACTTGGAGAGAACTTTTCTGTAACAATGATTCTCTAATTCTTTTATTTCAATCCGACCACGTCTCTATATATTTCAAATTTAAATGAGACCAGGTTTTGTTTTGGATATTATGAATTCCTGACATTAATCATAAAGGCTTGTAACGTTCAGAGGTAGTTCATTAAAGATCGTCGAGGAATGAATAACTTCTGATTCACCGATACTCAATATTACAAAAGCAGTCGTCGGTCGGCAGTTATTAAGGGAGATGAAGAAGAGAAAAAAAAAATTCGCATTCATCGACTCATGCCCTCGAATTTTTACCAAGACGGAAATTCCGCATCTTCATTCGTTTAAAAGTTTTGTGGGGAATATTAATTCTGCAATCTTTTTTTCCGCACTAGCAAAAGATTCATTATTTTCGTGCTTGGAATGTGTATCGATAATAATGATTTTTAAAGCAAGTTGAAAGTTGGGAAGAATTTACAAATAATAATCTGATAATTTTATCTTTCATTCATTTATTCTGTTTGCATAGTTTGAAATTAGTTTTTGTCTATGCTTTTGTTTGTTTTTTTTTCATTAAAATATATTGTTTGACAAATTGAAAATATGCAGATATTTTTCATATTTTTGTACAGAAAATTCTTAATTTTCATAAAAAAATATAATTTGCATCATTTCTATTTCTTAATATTACAATTGTTTTAATAAAATTCAAAATTTTTTTTAAAATGAAGAAAAAAATTGTTTATAAATTTCATTTGTCAATTATAAATTTTAATTGACAGTAAAATTGAAAATTTTTGAATTTTTATAAAATAAAGGAAAAAATACTAAAAAAATGTTCTATTACATTTATTTACCAATTTTTTTTTTGTAAAATTATTCGAAAACATGAATAACTTATTTTTTAAATAAATATTTAATTATTATTCTTGTTCCATAGGAATAGAGATTTTCAAAAATTTTAAATTCGAACTTCTTTGGACTTTAACAACTTATATAATAATTAAAGATGACAGAGTGACAAAATCATTTTTTATTTTTTTTTTATATATAGTACAGATATTGAGAAAAATTGTTTAAAAATAATTGAAATTTTGACAAGAATTTTATAAAAATTTTTGAAAATAATTGAATTTTGGAGAAGGATTTTATTATTTATCAAGATAATTGAATTTTCAACAATTTTTTCAACCGAATTAAATTTCTGCGAAGAATTTTAATACTTTTGTAAATAATTGAATTTGGATAAGAATTTTTTTTTGAATTCCTAAAAGTAATTGAATTTTTGTGAAAAATTTTGTTTTTTATAAAGGTAATTAAATTCATTCGAATTAAGAACAATTACATTTTTCAAGGAATTCAATTTATTACAAATTACAATTGTATTAAAAATAATTGAAATTTTGCGATGAGTTTTATTATTTATAAAAATAATTGAATCCCTAAGAAGAAGAATTATATGAAAATTTTTTAAATAACTGATTTTTTCGAAAAACTTTATGCAAATTCTATTTTAAATAAATGAATTTTTCTGAATTTTTTATTATTTATAAAAATAATTAAATGTTTGCGTAAAAGTTTTAGAAAAATTTATTTTAAATAATTGGATTCATTTGGTAAATTTTGTGAAAATATTATAGTAAGTATAGATATTGAAAATCATTGAATTGAGGCAAATTTTTTAAAATGTTAGAAATTTTGCCAAGTATTTTATTAAATTTTTTGAGAAATCATTAAATTGAGGGAAATTTTTGAAAATAATTGAAATTTTTTCAAGAATTTTATTAAAAATTTTGAAAATAATTGAATTTTAGAAAAAACTTTTATTATTTATAAAGATAATTGAAATTTTGATTAGGATTAAAAAAATTTTTTGTATAGATATGAATTTTTTGAGAAAAATTTGAAGGTTTTGTATTAGAATTCGTGGTAATTTCATAGTTTATATGACAAACAGAAAAGACACCAAAATTCAGAATTTTTTCATCAATTCAAAAAATTTAATTTTTTCTTGTAGTTTTTATAAGAATCCCCAACTTTTTCCTGAATTCCCTGTCTCAGAATATATGATAACTATAGCTATAATAGTATTAAAACTATATTTCAAAAATTCATATTTTATTTTTATGAAAAAAAATTTGAATTAAAAATTTTTAAATTCTATTGTTTTTAAAATTGATAATTTTGTTTAAAACACAGTAAGTAAGAAGTTAGAATTGTTGCTAGTTAAGCAATAAGAAAAAAAGAAATGTCGTTTAGGGGAAATGAAATATTTATGAATTGAGAATGAGAAATTCCATTTTAATGATAAGAAATAACTATAATTTTAAATTTTATTATTCATCATCTAGTATGAACAACTTTTGTTTGAACTATAAAACAGTTTTTTTCTTCTTCTGTTTCTTTTGAGTCTTACAATCTGTAAAATAAAAGAATTATTATTAACATATTTGAAGTATGGAAAATAAGTAATTAAGTAATGTTTGTTAATTTTTTTTGCAGACCCCAATTGGAGACACCACTCTCTGGTGATGCTAGTCATGTACACCAAGGCAATCAGCAGGTGCACGATGTCAGTGCAGGACAATTGCCTCAGGACAATTCCAACCGTGCCAGACCCAGGTTAATATTCTTATGATTTATTGTAATTTATTCACATCATTATTCACATCCCCTATTAAAGCAAACGCAATATTCTTTCTCTATCAGTTTTTCTTCTCAATGTTAAAAAGATATTCGGGCAAGAAGAAAAATTTATTATCATCTCTCTCGTGAGTTTGTCAAAATATATTCGTTATATGAAAACATGATACTATTTGAAAAGTATATAATTTCTAATAATTGATTCATTGACGAATTATTATGTCGCGCCGATAACGATGAGGATTGCGACATTTCGTATAGTTTAATCGAAGCTTGCTAATCAGAGCGATAGAACTGGTTCGGCAAGATCAGTTTATTGATCAACACGATGAAATACCGCGAGACGATTACCGTTATTGAATTTCATTAAATGTCCGAGCAAAAGCTGGGAGGAAAGCATATTCACTGCCCACGGTTGAAGGTGTTAGTTTGCATTATAAATTGCAATTAAGGAGTGGCTGGAATGCAGTAATAGACGATACGATTCAAACAGAACCCAAGCTAGTTATTATTTTTCCGACACTGTGTTTTAATTTTCAATTTCCATTATTGATAAGATAATCATCTAAGGATTGCAATTTTTTTTTAATGTTATAGCCGAGGTCGCAGAAAGTCAAGGTGGAAACTGAAATTTCATCATCAAGCACTGCCCCCAGAGTATTTGGATCATTATGAAGCAGCATTAGCTCAAGAGGCGTTAAACTCCTCACCGGCATCAGTCTCCGAAACTTCCCCTAGTCCGGCTCCGACGACTTCGACGTCAACCCCGAGTCCCATTTCTGATGTTCATGGATGGCTTCAAAGAATAGCTGCAATGCAACAGGAGCTCTGCCCTCCGCTGCCCACGAGTCCACAGCCTAACAATACCTTTGGGAGTGGTAGAAGATCAGTGATAACTTCCGCTCCCCAACCTTACTTAAATCAGTCGCAACCTTCGCCGAGGCCTCCCATGAAATATTCCGATCTTCCCTACATGGGCGAAATTACTCTCGATAACAGCAAACCCAGAAGAGGTAGGAAGCCCAAGAAGGCCGATATCTGTCATCTTATCTACAAAAACTACGGGACTATTTTGCCCGGAACACCCGGACGCGATGAAATGAAGACCCCTCGAGATAAACTGGACAAAGAGTCTCATATTCCATTTCAGCGAACTGATATCCAGAATAGGATCAGTAGTCTCCTGGAGAAAAGGCTTACACAAGAGTCCCGCAGGAGTCTCGGTTTAGATTCCCTGAAGGAACAGGACGAACCCCTCAATCTTTGCATTCGGGACCTGAATCAATTAAAAATACGACTACTTAGGAAACATGGTAATGTCTACGAATCCGGTCAGTTGAAAAGCGAGGCCTCGAGCGATAACGAAGATATCGAGTGTCTCAATGCTTCCTACGATTCCATTCAACAAGAAACGGTTAACAACAACAATATCAATTTGACCAACAACAACAACAACCACGATCCAACGAGTCCTAATCCCGGATTTGTCTACTGGCCCAACGCAGGTGTCTTCATCCATCCCATGGCCCTTCAATCTCAGTTCCTCTACTATCAAAAAATGGCCCAAAACGAAAAGAACCTACCCAAACCGGACACATCGCCAAAGGAGCAGAAAATTGTTCCTAAATCTCTGTACTCAATGTTGGAGAATAATAGTCTCAATAGTCCTACTCCAGTACCTCCGGTACCTTCGCCATCGACGCCAACGTTGACACCAACCTCAACCCCATCGCCCGTCTCCCCTCGTCCTAAAAGAAACGCCCCATTGGGAAATCAGGGTCAGCCGACGAAGCGAAAAAGATCCGCAATCTTCATTCCACCGATGCCAACCGAGAACAACAATAATCCCACCACTGAAGTTAGTATTTGCAAATTTAAATTCACCGGTGGTGCGAAACCGTCACTTCAGGAAAAGAAGAGTCTCTCGGTTGATGCGGGGGGAAACTTTAGGTACTACAGTGGAACCGGTGACAAAAGTATGAGGGGCTATGAATTCTTTCCAAGGGAGGCTCTCCAACAGCCGGCGGGACAGGCCGGATCATCGACGGGAGCTTTTTTAAACGCTGCTGCCGAGAGGATCACAACCCCCACTTGTCCAAGGTCCCCGATACAAGACGACGGTCGAAGAAAGAGAAAAACTAGAAAGTCAATCCAACGGGAAAAACTCGAGCAGACATTTAAGGAAAAGGGTTTTTTAATACAAACCCAACAGTTAGAATCGGCCGAGGGAGCGACCTATTGTAAATTTCGTCAATTGAGGAAATTCACGAGGTATCTTTTCAGAAGTTGGAAAGACTATCTTCCGGGTAATGTGCGCGAATTAACTGGCGGACCCGAAGATATTCACGACGCTGATGAAAGTGATCCGGCATCGACCAGTTCACCGAGTCCTCATCCAAGTCTAGTGGATATTCCATCGGGTCTCCTTGAGGAACCGAGAACCCTCAGTTCTTAAGACTGTAATTTTTTTCCCCCCAAAATTAAGACAAACTTATCAAGATGTAAGTTTAGAATCGACTAGAAAAAGTTTAGCGGATTTTTTTTGAGGTGGATACACGGATTCACTGGATCAATTGAGGGGACAGATGCGCTAGGATTGATCTCCCTACAATTACAATAACGCACAAGTTTTCTCAATATTATTTTCCTTAATCCCTTGGCCCCGAGTAATCAGTTTCAAGCCAATCTATATAATATTTTATTTTGTCGTCCGCCATATTGATAACGTGAAGTTAATAACTTTTTGAAACATAATTCACGATATCTCCATTTTTTTGTAAATGGAATTTTTTGCTACTTCATAACTAAATAAATTTTGAGTCAACGAAACCGTTTAGCTTAACAATATTTCAAAATTTCCACTAGTTCGTATTATTTTTTAATGTTAAATACAACATGTTAGGTTTTTGTTTTTTATGTCTTCTGAAGAAAAAAGTAATGCGATAAAGTTTTATCAAGGAAGAATTTTAAGCGACAGAGTTGTTCCTTATAGAATAGTGAAGTTTTTCCTACAATTTCAGATCGATCGGTTAAAAACTGTAAAAATTATAAATATTTATACGCTTCGTCCGTTATGGCATCTGTTCCCTCAATTTAGAAATTTACTACTGCAAAAAAATAATCGATTGTTAAAAAGTTAGAAATGGTGAAACCGCTTACAGATTATTTGGAAAACGTCAAAATCTGGTAAATTGGTGATTCTTGCAGTAAGTGAGTGTGTCTCCTTTTCTTTCTTTGACGGGGTAACTTTAATATTTCATTCAGACTGCCATGCTTAACTTATTTCTTATCTTCTTCTTTTTACTCTTTCAGGCACATTGCGTTGCCCTTTTTCTCCCTTGGACTCTGATCTCATTTTCTTCTTTTTCGACTTCTTTAGCTTGACGTCCTTCGCTTTAATCCCCATCGACCATCTCATATATTTCTTGCATGCATCACTTCTACTTTTTCTGTTCCTGCCGAGTCCTATAACTCCGCCCTGAAACATTAATATACTTTCCGATCCAAGGCGAGTCTTAAATCTTGTACTTTTTCACTCTTTTACATAAGTGACTACCATTGCTCGTTATTTTAGCTGCAAAAATTTCACGAATTTTATTGATTTAAATGGATTTCAGTGAAATTCCATACAATCAAGTAACGACCGGAAGTCGTACTATTAGTCCGCAATTTTTATTTGTAAAAGTTAATAAAAAAAAAAATATTAAATTAATTTAATGAAAGTTTGTAATCGAATTTAAAGTTGTATAATGTCTCGACTGATTGAGTTATCAGTCGCGAATGATCATTGTTCAATGAATGAGTGCGAGTGAGTTCCGCGAATGGATTGTATGATCCGTGTTAAGCGCTTGACGACTCGTGTTCAGCTTTATTTGTGTTAGGAAGAGTGTTGTACGAGAGAAAATTGCTCAATCCATACTATATTCTCTGCTAGTTTCTGTTAAATCTATCTTGCCGTATGTCAATTAAGTAGTCAGTGATTTTTCCATGTTTCTATTTAATTTGTAAATTTATAGCCTCAAATATTTTACAAAATATCCAATTAGAAAGGAAAAGCAAATGACATTCTAATAATCATAATATTCGCTATTAGGTGAACAAATAATTGTTCGAAAAATTATTCATCATCTAGTTTGAAAATCTTTGGTTCCTTCCACGGTTTCCTCTTCATCCTCCCCTAACAGAATGATATTCTAATAATCGTAATATTTGCCATTAGGTGAACAAATAATTGTTCGAAAAATTATTCATCATCTAGTTTGAAAATCTTTTTTTTCTTCCACGGTCCCTTCTTCATCCTTTCCTAACAGAACCTGTAAAATAATGTCCCATTAGTAAATAATTACAAAATTGTCTAGAAAAACAATCCATCAATTACTTTTTACAAATTATTTATTAAAAATGGTTAAATAAAATTTTCCACGATTTATTGCAAAAAAAAACAGTAATATATGTGTGATGAAAGAATACTATTAAAATACACGAGAAGTTAACGAAAGAGAAAATGTTTCTATTCGCAGAGAAAATATAGGTGAGCATTTTTTTTACCCACTCGAAAGATAATAATTGAATTATTGAATAACTTGCGAGATGCCTATTGTCATAAACATTCGCGAAAATGGTATGGTGCTTCTAATTTGGTTTTAGTGCATTTAAAACTACAATATTATATACAAGGAACGCCTTATATTCACGAAGAGAGAAAACAAAGAATTAAAAAAGTGAGTGTGAGAAAAATCCGCAACCTTGGTTTCATTGATTAAATAATGATCCTGTAAATTTGAATACACAGCTTTGTGCCAAAGATGGGAGACTGGAATGTAAATAGATGTAATATGAAGCGCAAGAATGTGTTCACCAAAGAGTGGTCGTGACAGTCGGTCGAATTGATCCAGCACCCACATTTAAAATGAAAACACAAATTTAAATTGTTAATTCTTGTCTCACTTCTCTTAAAACACTGAGAAATAATAAAAAATTAAAAATAATTAACAAGAATTTATAAATAGTCAGACAAATGAAAATTGTAAATAAAAAAAATTAATTTAATAAAATTTGTTTTTTTGCTACATACTTTGTACTCGAATTTGTGCGAGATTGGAGAAAAATTGAACGAATTAAAATTTAACGTATAGGACCGATGGCATTTGGTATTTGAAAGAAAGCGAGGGATCTGTGCATTTGTAAATGAAAGAGTGATAATTAAAAATGTCGTTGTTATCATATTTTTGTAAACTATATATATATATTATATATTTTATTGTTAATAACGGAATCTAACGAAGTCTAGTCTTATTTATACTCTCATTACATCGGAGATTTTAGTTAAAAAGAATGGCGGTTTTAAATATTCAGAGCTTCATCAACTTTTTTAAAGGTTTAAAATCAGCAATGTACAAAATGTGCCATTTTATGCTTGAAAATTACTAAAATAAATAAATAAATAAATAAAATGCTAAGCAGGAAAACCGTCCAAACAAGACTCGTATTTTTCACGCTACACTATATACAAAAACATAAATACACACTTACACGTTTTATGTTACAAATCGTCTCACACGAATGCTCATTGTACAGAGAGATCATTCTTTATATAGCTTTTAATGAAGATGTATTGTTATATATTAAATATATGGAATATTGAACAATTTTGCACCTTTTATTAACATAATACCCTATAATGACATCTTTTCACCGACGTGTAAGAATATCTTTAACATCCTTAAGTATTTTAAGATGTAACCTTTCCACGATCATCTGTGGCACTATGCAAGAAGTTGTGCGCCCTCACAATCCGTGAATAGATGAACACCAGTCTTAGGATTTGAGGTAAGATTTCCCGTTTCCAGCTTGTTTACATGGGGTACTAAATCTGAATTCTTTGATACCATTCTTGTTGTTTGCTGATTTTGGTCCGCCCTGGATTTACAATCAACTTGGTTTACGGATAGGTTGTAACCTATCAGGAAAGGCTCCCGATGGCGGATCAAGAATTAATTATTCCGTCTACAGAATGACTTGAAATTAGGAGTACTCCCATTTGCCTAGACCACACGCCTAATCTACTTTAATATTACCAAAAAAAAATATTTTTTTAATTAATTGTAAATATAGAGTTAAATGAGATCCTATTTGTCGAAAATAAATCTTTTTGTCCTCAGAAGTAGCAAAAATAAAGCGATCCCGCGCGATTGCAAGTAGCGATATCGCTGATGTGCGGTCAACTTGTGCATTCGGATCGGCAATCACGTCCAAAGGACAGGTATGCGCATATGGTAAGAGTGTATGTTTTCTTACACATTGAAGAGACAGGGTGGTCGAACGAATCCAAAGTAATGAAAGGATATATACATGGATAGTATAAATTGTGTGAGTTTGTGCGCGCGGTCCCCCATTCATACATACCCCCCATTCACGCATCTCCAGCTCACCTTGAAGACTCTTTTTTTCTCCTATCCAACATCTCTTCTACATTAAGTATTCACCTTCGTTTCGTTAAATTAGAGAAGTGCCTTTTTATCTCAAATATCCGGAATCGAAAAAGGGAATTTAAAAAAGATAGATAAAAATTAATTTTTACTATGATCAAGTCTGGAGGGTAGAAAATAGAGATAGAATTGTAACTACATTAATTAAAATTATTTCAAGTAATAACGTTATAAAGTGAGGGAAGTTGTAAATGGTGGTCGAGGGGGGGACAGTGCGAGAGTGATTTGCTGCGAAGTGAGCTTTATTTATCTTTGGATTTTCTGAGAACAATTCTATTGTGCCCTTAAGAAGTATCTGCACGTGCGTGGCTCAATTGCTGGTCCATCGTGTAATCACGACGCCACAAATTAAATTCAAGACGACAGTTACTGCAGGTTGCCATTTTGAGGCGCGGTTTCTACTGAAGGAATAAAAGGTAGTGCGTTGGTTATTAAATTTTTGCTCGGCGTTCGTCTAACGCGCTATACATGCCTTCCAGGTCCTTGTGGTCGCCAAAATTCCTCTTTTTTTTCATTGTGGACCTCGGGAACCGTGGCCGTATTAGGAAACCTGTAGTCATTGTGCGCGCCCTGCGCTCCTGCACCGAACGAACTCAACCGACTTGCAAAAAGTCAGTGAGGACGATGGGACAATAAAAGAAAATTTTTCAGCAAAAGGGCCCTTGGCACTTTCACGGGTCCTTCGCTTTCATATATATATATAATCCAGATGCGCACGATTTGTGACGTCCAGCTGCTTCTAAAGCTCTCGCAATATTTCTTTAGCTACATATATGAAATATTGTACTGCTTCATTACTCATCATTTGAATTTTGAAAATCTTTTAATACCAGCGTTAAGATTGCATCAAAAATATCAATGTTTTTATATTTCACTGAAATATCCTAAGCCTAATCCGCTCTTTACGCAAAGTCTTGTACGTGACAACAAACAAATCACATTCTACTTCCCTACTTTTTCCGATTTAATTTAATTAAGTTAATAATTAATAGTGGGTTGGTAAATAAGGCAAGAATTATTCTGCTTAAAATTTATTAATGAAAAGTATAATAATGATAAGGTTTTTTTTTAATAATATTGAGTAAATGGAAATTCTAGACCCTTTAATGTTTACAATTAGAGATGATGACTCTATGAGTGAATGGTTTTCTTTTATCACCTCTGACACTAGTTCTGGTTTCTCTTTGGCACAGCAGGAGGTTGGTTGACGTTCTCCTCCCAGAGACCAATGACTTTTTGTTTCGTGGTGATCTTTTCTCTTGGCAGACACTGAGTAAAATTGATCTTTACTCGTAGATTATATGGATGATTTCTCTTTTATTACTGACTTTGCAGACGATTTTTACTTATCACGGGTTTTAGAAGAACTGACTTAAAAGAAAGAACTGACTGAAAGAACTGACTGAAATTATATCAACTCTGTACCTATATGGTACAAATCTCACCCTATCAATCCTACATTTACGAGCAATTTTTCCAAGAATTAAGAAGAGCTGTGACTATAAAAACTGTGACTTCATTTTTTACTATTGAAGCCTTTTATCCTCTAAGTATTACCTTTTGGGTTCGAGAATTGATCAAGGATTGAACTGCACTTTCAATTGTATCTGCTTCCAACCGTTTGTCCAGCTGTTGATAGCTATCAGGCAATCAGTTCTGCTAATTAGTGGACAGCTTCCAAATTTGACTTTCTGGTCTCAACTTTTCAAATATTTTAGGAAGACTAAACCGGTTGGTAAAACTCATATCAATGATGTACATTCCTAAAATCTAATAAAGGACAAATTATCTTTCAATTTTAAAAGCATTCGTTCCCTTAGCTCGAGGCCTTCCGCTTTGTAAATAAATCAGACAAATAATTGAAATACGAGTATACTGGTCTCCTTTCCTAAATTACAAATTTTCATCATTGCAATAATAGTCGCGTGGAAAATTATTTCTTTGTCTAAAGAAAATTCTTATTCCTTACTTTTCTGTTCATGTGGTTTTAAAATTGTCGGATAAACTCATATGGTAAAACGCAAGACCATTGAGGATGCGATCAGGACACGTAAAGCGGTTAAAACAGGCTCGGTTTGTATATATAGAAATGGCAAAAGCCAGTTTAGCCTGGCGAAGGGTAGGGTATATCTGCGCGAAGACAGGTTCGTTCGCGAAAAACTTCAATTTGTCTCGCGCGTTGCGTATATCTACCAGGATCTACCGACTATGGCTAATATGCATGTTGAGTCGTTTATACATATATATACATATACTATACGTAAGCAAAGATATGTTCACGTTCCATCTACACTCTGGTAAACGATGAAAATAAGCACTTTATACCGGGCTTGTAATCGATTCCCTTATGTCGATATCAGCAGCAGGTTTCTCTTCATTTCAAGATCCTTATATACATTTTGCCGGTATGATCTTGATTCACTTTGTGGAATAAGAGCCTTTACACAAAGATTATCACAAAGTACCATCCGAACGAAATACTTTCACGAGATAAAACCTTTCCTGATGAATTTACAATCTTTCTATCAAGAATTCTTTGAGGAAAAATTGATAAATAAATGGTCATAAATAAGTCAATTTGTTTGAATATCTTAACAAGAACTGAACAATAAACTTTAAAATGGAATTTAATTTTTTTGCCAACATGTAGAGGTGAATGTATGAAATCAGAAAACCAATATAAATGAAGCCTATTTCACATGCCATTTCAACTGTCATAGTAAAATTTAATATTTGAAATAGACAATGTGTTGTGTGTGGGTTGAAGAAGTACCACGGGATTCATTATTCAAGCTCGCTTACAGTTATGGCGTAAAACGCAATATTAAGAAACTAAACGTGAAAGGGAATGACGCAAAGCAGTTTTAGTATTCACAGGCATCGACTATTTTTGCCTTTAATAATTTCCTGGTTGATGGCTAATTTTAGAAAATGTCAATTTTTTTCTCCTACAAAACATTATAACTTTTAGAAAGTGTTAAACTATTACAGAATATCGAAATTTATTTCCGTCTATAAAAATTAACTGAAAAAAATTTTCTCTTAATTCGAATGTAATACCGAAATTCTTAAGCGGAATCAGGAATATAATTAAAGATTCATGAATAACAGGTCTTGAAGAGATTTTTGTTTTGGGATACAAGAGCGATACTTCGAATTAAAGTCGCGTCCCATTCTTGCTTCTTTTATTTTTCGTTTTCGTTGCAGCTGTCGGTCGAGAAACAAGAAGTTAGACCAGCTGGCATCAAGAGAGTAAGAGAATCTGTGCAAAATCCCTGGAACTGTATACCATCAAAGATCGATCTTCCCTAATTGATACCATTTTCGTCGCTATTGACATTTATTTAAGACCATTTATAGATATCACGATACGATAAAAGAAAGGGAACTTTTTACATTTCTACAAAACAGGAACAAAAATTCTTTATGTATAATTATTATCATCTAACAATTATATAATAGTCACTAGAAAACAAATTTAGTTTACGTAAGAAATAAAGCACCCACTTAATTTTGATAATAATTTTAAAGTTAAATATTTTTCAAGATGCTGTAACTACTATCAGTTATCAGCACACAATTTTAATGTTAGTATTAAACAAAAAAGATATTTAATTTCTAAAACTAATTTGGTGCCAGTTTCAGCTGCATAAGTAGGAACAATAATTTTTAATTTTCATAAGTTACTTAAAAAAATTCTTACCCTTTTGTAGGTTGGACGGATATTTTTTCAAACATCATCTCGATATTGAATTTGCTCTTTAGCAAATTAATTATGTTGATAAATATTATTCATCATCTAGTATGAAGATCTTTTTCCTGAATGATGCACACTGTTGTGTGACAGACTATTACCATCTGTGGAAGAAAATTTTTATGAGAAAGAAAAAAGAGAATGGTAATTCAGGGAAAATTTAAATACGCCAAGAAAGGACAAGAGAGGGAATAAAGTGTGGGGAACATGATACAAAAAGTGGTTTTAATTAAAAGAGTGGCGCCATCACCGAAAAGGTACCTGGGTCTTGCTTTTAAAAATCTCGTACCAAAGAGGCGACTCGAAGTGGGGGGGGGAAATGTATTGAAAGAAAGGGTGGGTGAGGGAGGGATATGAGGGTGGGGAGAGCGTATCCAACGCGAGTATCTCGATTAAGATGCACTTC